GCTGCTAGACAAACTAGATTCTTTGGGAATTTTACTTACGCAACTTTAGGAAAAGTGGCAGCTTCTTCTTCTAATTGCAACTCTTTAGCCAACTGTTCACTCATTACATCAGCCAAAGAACAAGATATTGTATTTTGAGGGGTAGCCCATGGACACTATTAAAAAAAAAAAAAAAAGACAATTCATAATACTGAAATTAAAATATCTTCCAAACTTAGAAATAAGGTTATTTTTGAGAATCAAACCTGTTAAATAACCCCAAAATAAAAATATTTCCCAGTTCAAATCTAACCAAGGATAAGTGTAAACTGAAACAATCCAAAGCCCTTTCTAACTTGTTTGATAAGTGTGTCCTTTTAGTTGAAGGGAAACATCAGGCTATCATAGCATCGCCCCACTAGCCAAGAGTTCATGTAATGACATGTCCTTTGTTCCAATTCCATGATTCCCCAAGCAACCTTCTGTTTATAATTTGGCTTCCAAAGAAGATTCTCTTAATAGGAACAGACTAAACCAACTGGCACAATTCAAGCCCACTCAGAAGTTACACCTCATTCTCATGTACAAAGTAAGTCTTTTACATGTAAAATGTGTGTGGTCAGTCTCTCTCAAGACATGCTAAAACAAAAAATAACGAATAATGACAAAATAAAAAAGCGACGGCAAAGTGGTATTTTGTGAAACTATCCAGTCAGCCTTCCTCGATGATATCAATATCTTGACCGTCTTGAACTAAAAAAAAAAAATTTATTAATTTCTGAGGGAGAAAGCTTTACTTAGCAGCAGCAAATGATGACATTTGCTAATCTAGTGATTAGGGCCATCGACACTGAATAAGATGTCTAAATCTCTCAAGAACTTGCCCAGCTCCCCTTCCAAGATTCTACCCCAAAGTACACTCCTCCCATCACCAAGCCACTTGTAAGAGCCTCCTAACTAATCTCTCTGCCTCCAGTCCTGCCGTTTCCAGTCAGCACAGCACAACACAATGGTTTTTCTAAAATGCAGATTTGAATGGTCCAGGCTCCTAACTGAAAGCTTTCATCGTTCTAATGTTTCCCATTACCTTTACAATAAAGTCCAAACTCATTCCTTAACTACCACCAAGTGTCTAGTTTAGAATACGGTATATGATATTGTTTTAGCCAAACAAAACTGTTTAATCACGGTGAGCCAATAACAAATCGCTAGCTGGCCTAAGGGCTTGGTGGTGAGACTTTGAGAGACAGCTAAGCAAGAGACCCTAGTTCAGGTTCCACAAGTCCTGAACTTGAGGTTCAGGAATTCATTTGGTTCAGGCTGTTAGGGTGGTAAGTGTGATAAGTGGCAACTATCCCTAAGTGAATCAGAACCAAGTTTAATTGAGACTCGCCCTGACAGGGATGAGATGCACCCAGTTCCCAGCACATACCTAAACCAGCCTACATCAGATTGACCTGGAAAAAACAGGAAGCCTTCCAAAGGCCTGGTGTGACTTCATTCGCTCAGATCTTACCAGCAACAAAGCACTCTCCTGGTGAGCATTTTGAGGTCTGGAATCTTGAAGCTCTCTGTAGTCTGGAGAACACAGCTAATCTCTTAGCCAAAAAACTCTGGTGACATCCTCCTAAATCCACTAGGTAGAAGACATAATGCCGCCTAGAAATGCTTGGTCTGATCCCTTTCAAAATTCAGGTTCCAAAGGGCAAGTGACTATATTCTCTAACTTAGAATTGCCAATCACATATTGCAATGACTAACAGTAAAATAAAACACAACAACTCACTGTATTTGAGTCACTTGGCTAAATATACAAAACTTGTATAGATTACTTAAGTCACACAATAATTGAGCAGTTGGAATATCTTCCCTATTTCATAGATTTAGAAACTGATACACAGAAATGTTTTTTTGTAGATGGAAGTGCTGAGATTTGAACCAAGGCAGTAGGACTTGAGAGACTGCACTTGAAGCATTTTGCTGTACTGTGTCCCTTAATCACCTTGGCTTGGTACTGAAGCAAAGTGCTGTACTGCCTGCAGCCTAAAATCCAAATTCCTCAGCAATACATGCCCTTCACAACTTGACCTAATTTAACTTTCCAGTCCCAATAACCCTCATTACCCTGTGTTCAAGCAGCATAATTGTATGCCAAACATGGCATACTTTTACCCTTCCACACCTTCCTGCCTGCTCTTCTCTCAGGATACTTTTTCTTCCTCATCTATTTCCCCCAATTAAATTACACCTCCTCCGTAAGACTCAATTTCTACGCCTTCCTTTGTGTTTCCACACCACTGTGTACTGTTTGAGCAGGACCACTCACTCTATCAGAGTCACCGCATCCACCACAATACACCACCAGCCTCCTGAAAGGCAGGGTCTTCTCAGTCTCAGAGCCCGGCACAGAGCTTCGGACATAAAGAGGCATTCGGGCACTTACTGAATGTGTGCCAAAAGGGAGGAAACACGGTAGGTATTTCATGAAACCGTCAGGTTGTCCCTGTAGAGGCCTGGTGCCTTTATGCCCCTACTAAAGTCCCCTTTCCACCTTGAACTTGGCCCCTTTACCTACCCACGTCTGGTGTTTCTAGCCTTTAACCAAGGTCAGTTGTTTCCACTAACGTGTAAAATTAGCTGATCATTCCCCAGAATAGGCAAAAATGATAGGGAGTAATTGTAATTTTGAGACACAAGTTTACTTACTTCCAAAATAAACTGAATCAGAAAGGGAAATGTGGAGAGCCCAGCGGGCACCAAGAACTCTGCCCAATCTCACAGTTCTCGCTCCTCAGTGACTTAGACTCCAGAGCTACACTTCCCTGCGCCTCCGCTGACCAGCTCAGCTGGGCCGTCTCCCTCGGGTGAGGGTAAATAAGTAAAGACTTCGAAAGGCTGCCAACTCCCATACTTTGATGACAACCAAACTCTTCAAACCAGCAGTCAAAAGCCCTCCATAAAACTTGTCAAGCTGTGGGGGACAACCCACCACAGGCACAAGGGGTTTACTACCCCAAGGCTGTGCTTAGAAAATTCACTAGGGCTGCTCATATGAATGGGCACCATGGAGTTTATGTAGGGGAATCCTGTTATCACCTTGCAACTCTCTTCAGTAAAGCAGACACTCTTTGTAATCAGAGAAACTTTATTACATGTTAAAATAGTAATAAACCTTAGAAGAGAACCTCCATCTTTGCTGTTTAACATCACTTCCCACTAGTCCCTTCGTCAACATAAACTCGCCATTGATCAAGACTGGAAACCCCACACAATCCTTCCCAGTTAGTTACTCTGCTCTAAGTGACATCAAGCCTATAACCAGCTCTCTGATTCATTCTTTCCCTTTTGCTGAAGAGCCCTGAGACACACCAAGTTTTCCTTGCCTCTGGGAAACTGCCACCACTGAACTCTCCTCCTTGGAGTTCTTCTCTACTGCCGTATTCTCCCAGACCTGGCTGGCTGCGGACTAGAGGGAAATAGTCCCCTTCTCCTTCTGGCTCCTAAAGATGCATCCTTAGCTGCCCAACCCACTTTCCTTTTTTTAAAGCTTGTACTGCAGACAACTATGGGGAAAGAATCAAGTAAAAGAAAAAAACAGCAAATACAAAGGGGGCACATAAAAATCCAGTCCTCAACTTGAAGCAAATCAAGAGAACCATAACCCTCAGGAAGGTCCCTCATCTTCCCGTGCAGCTTGAAGATACAATCTAGACAGAATATTTGAGTGGGTAATTTTACTTCTCAAGACAAGAATCTCTGGAAAGTGTTATCTGGGTCTATAAAACAACATTAAAGCATTTTTTAACTTTAAATTTTAGATACAGTTTTTGACGTTACATTTCTGATGTTAACAAATAACATACAAATGATGTTACATATATCAATAGCAATAACAATATAAACAAAAGTTCCCTGAGGTCCTCAATAATTTTTGAGTATGTAAAGAAGTTCTGACTGAAAAGTCTTGAGAATTGCTGGCCTTTAACATTCTTTCCATTTTTCAAGACCTTCCTCAAAACTCCACCTCCTCCATGTATGCTTCTATAATCACTTTGGTCTTGCAAAAAGTTAGAGAAGAAAAGGATTAAATAAAACTTGCAGCATCTTTCTAATTCTTTTGCCTGCAAAATGCTATCTTCCCAATAGAATATCAATAAACCTAGGAGTTTTTGATGTTGTCGAATGATAAAAATAAAACCTGACTTTGGCACAATTGCCAAAGAATGAATCAGAGAGCTGGTTATAGGCTTGATATCATTTAGAGCAGAGTAACTAACTGGGAAGGATTGTATGGGGTTTCCAGTCTTGATCAATGGCGAGTTTACGTTGACGAAGGGACTAGTGGGAAGTGATGTTAGACAGCAAAGATGGAGATTCTCTTCTAAGGTTTATTACTATTTTAACATGTAATAAAGTTTCTCTGATTACAAAGAGTGTCTGCTTTATTGAAGAGAGTTGCAAGGTGATAACAGAGGAAGATTCCCTTACATGAACTCCATGGTGTCCATTCATACAAGCAGCCATGTATATGATGTATACTTAAATGAAAATATGATTAATATCAAGTATTTCATTACTGAATTAATTTTGTAAGTAAAATTTGTCCTGAGGTTAAGTAATCTGAGCAAAATTCATTTCATTTGGCATTTTCACGAGTTACTGTAAGTTCTTAAGTGGAGGAATTTAACATGTAACATATATATTAATTACTGTCTACTGATTTCATCCTTTTAAGTCTACTGATCTTGGACTTGAAAACATGGCTATAATAAAAAAATACACAAAATAACATGTAGATGTAACCACAATTGCCAATGGAATACCTTAGATTCTCCCTACAGTTGTATGAAAACTTTCATAAAGTTAATTTTCCTTTATTAAGTAGCTAATTATTTTCCCCTTTTTCTGTTAAGACCTAGCCTGAAGATCCAATAAGATTAACAAGTGACCTCTTACACGAAAACAAAAAATGTTCTGTGTTGGCCTTTAACGAACAATTATGAAGCTTAAAAAGTCGGATTCCTTCATAACTGTAATGTGAAAAACACAAAATCCCAATTGAAGCACTCTTATTTTCAAGCAAACTCTCAATAAAACGCATAAAAATCTTTTCATCCTTCTAGTGAAAGTATCATGAAAAGCAGACCGAAATCCAGAAACCAAATGTGAAATATGAAATAAACGGAGTTAGCCATTACAGGAGAAAGCTTAAATGTTACAGCCCCAGGCTGACAAGAATTCATAACCGTTTTACAGTGTCTCGAGTGCACCTCAGTATTATTAGCCTGGGTGGAGAGCAGGTGCTCTTGCATTTATCTTTTACTACTTAAAAAACAAGAAGTTGCCTAAGTAGGATAACCACACTTGCCAAGTGAAGTCAACAGCTGTCGCCGGTCGGGCTTCCTGTGTTATTGGGCTGACTCACTAGGCCCGTCCAAAACAAGCCCGTGCTCGCCTTCCCGCAAACGTCACGGTCTCCGAGCCAGTCTTGCCCACAGATAAGCTATGGAGTTTCAGACAGCAAGGGGGGCGACCCAGAAAGAGGCCCCAAGTCTCTGGCAACCTGGGCCCCCTCTCCGCCTCTCCTACCCCCACCCCTGCGGCCCTGCCGCCGGTCCCCCCTTTCTGGGGTCGCCGGGGTTTCGCCCAGAGCTTCCCGAGTCGTCGGCCGGTCCGCCTAGACGACTGCCACGCTCTCCGGGCTCTCCGACAGAACCAGCCCAGGTGACCACGGTAGGTGCATTTGCCCCGACAGTCACGCACCTTGCTGGTTCCCCAGGCCGCTGCCGGCCCGGGTTCAGGGGATGACACTCCGACCAGATCCATGTAGGGAAAGAAGCCAGTGACAAGAACGGAGCACAGAGATGACAGGACCGGGAAGCAGCCTCCACCGAGGAGAAAAGAGGCCGGGCAGGGGCGACTGGGGGGATCGGACCGGAGCAGGAGCCGGAGCACAGGTGACAGATGGCGGCGGCTGCCGCCGCGTCCGGAACTAAACCTTTTCTCTTCCGCCTCTTCCGCTAGGACCGTCGCTTCCAATTGGCCACCCCCGTGGGCTCCGCCTTAAGTCACCTCAGCTCGTTTCCGGAGGCTGCACTTCCGGCCGCTGCTCTGAGCTCTGGGCTCCCGGCCCGGGACTCTGGGCTGCTGGTCCTGGTTGACCGGGTTGGGCTGGGCGGAGGCTGGGTGTGGTGACTTTTCTGGCCAGGCCCTCCCCCAGCCGTGCTCCGTCTTCCCCTTCTGCTGGGCTGGACATCCGCTGGATGCAGTTATCTGAGTTGGACCGCGTGGACTGTAAATAAACAAGCAGAGGACGTTCCTATGTGCGCTCATTTTTTCCCAAATCAATTCTAAATTGTGATGGAATGGGAGACAGAAAAATGGCAGGTTTCGAGAGCGGAGCGAGACTGAGGAAGGCAATCGGACCTTGTTGCAGTTTGTCCTTCGGAGGCGGGGCATGGAACATGGAAATTTATAAAATGAGTTATGTAACATAGAGCATAAATGGACTGCCTAATAAAATTTTTTATTCAGTATTTTGTACAGAGATTCTCATAAAGTTGAGTGGATAATAATATTTAAGCATTACATTTCACATGTGTTCAATCATTGCTCAAAGTACTGTACCAACTCGTCGGTCCTCAAAATAATCCTGAGAGGTAAAGGCTATCGTTCATCCCTTTTTACCTATAGTGAAATAAGTGCAGGGAGGATAATTTGCTCTAAGCCATACAGCAAATAAGTAGTGAACCCAGGCAGTCTGGGTCTGGAGACTGGCATTACTAGACTGTATGTATGCCAACTATTTGGACATTCCACAAATAAGTACTCAATACCTTCTCCCTAAACTGCAGTTCTGAGCCAGGATCCCATGTTTGGGATCCCTGGTGTACTGACTTTAATGATTTTCATTACCACACAATCCTTCCAATTCCAGATCGTGTTCTGAATCTTCCAAAAACTCAAAACTAAAGGCAAAACTATAGCTATACAGTAGGATACATACAGCTTGACAAATGTCTATATTTGTGAATGTGTGGGAATTGTATTCCCTTTTAGTGTTTAAAGGATTGCAATCAGTGTTCGAAGATACAAATAATTGAGGACAAATGGTTGTAACCAGAAGTTAAACGGACTCTCACTTGTGAATTAGAAACAGGAAAGATGAGCCAAGAGATAATTGGAGCCTTTTATTATTGTTTTTGTTTTGTGGGAGTGTTTTTTTGCCATATATATTTTTAAATTCATCTTTCAGTTGCAGTTGACATACAATATATTACAGTTGTACAAAATAGTGATTAGACATTTATTTACCTTACAAAGTGATTCCCCTGGTATCTCTGTTTAAGCATAAAGGGGGGGAATGATATGGGAAGTTTTGAAGAACCTTTGTTTAACCTTTATTTGCCCAGGCCCCAGGCGCCCTGGGGAGAATGATGAGACTGTCTGGGATAAGTAAACAATGGTGCATTAGCTAGGACTAGGATTAACACCCCTGCTGTGAAAAACTGACCTTCGACTTTAGCCTATGTACTTTACTTCCGCCTCGTAGCTAGGACTGACTTCTGCATTCCTGCTTCTATATCTTGCTTTACTACTCCGAAGGCTATATAAACCCCAAGAATCCTTTGTTCGGGGCTCAGAATTTGGAGACTGCCTCCTCTGGACCCGTGCACATTAATAAAACCTCGTACTCCAGAAACCCTCGGTGTCTGGTTGCTTCATTTTCCTGCAACATCTCCAGTGCCCATCTAACACTGTATATATATAGTTATTACAGTATTACTGACTGCATTCTCTATGCTGTACTTTATACCTCTGTGACTCTTTTTAAAAGTGGCAATTCGTACTTGGAGCCTCCAACTAAATGAGCCAAGAATTTCTAAAGAAAAAAATTGGAAGAGAGCAGATCAGAAAGAAGGGCTGAAATGCAGTGCCTAACAAAAAATGTGTCTCCATTAGACACACCAGGAAAGGACAAGAAGTTGAATATAAAACTAAAAATCTGGATATTTGTTTTAGATCATTTATTCAGCAAATTTTATTGAGTATTTTCTTAAGTGCCTAACACTGGAGTGATGAATATGAATAAAAATAGGTCTCATGGACCTTGAGGACTGATGCCTCACAAACCAATTACATGTAAGTGTTAAAAATGCTTCATTAGACCCCTGGCTGCGGTAGCTCAGTGGATTGAGCACAGGCCTGTGAAACAAAGGGTCGCCAGTTCAGTTCCCAGTCAGGGCACATTCCTGAGTTGCAGGCCAGGTCCCCAGTAGGGGACACATGAGAGGCAACCACACATTGATGTTTCTCTCCTATTCTTTCTCTTTCCCTTCCCCTCTCTCTAAAAATAAATAAATAAAATATATATTTTTAAATGCTCTAATAGAAATACATGGGAATGTAAAGGCGGGAGAGGTCAGTAATAGTGGGAAATTATAACCCACATCACCATTCTTTTGACTTTGTTTCTGTAAATGCAAACTCTGACTCATATGTAGCTTGTAGAAGAACAGCATGTTTGTATGAGAATCCGAGGAGCTAACTTCAGAAGATAACAGACTGCAACCTTCAGACATCCTAGCTCCAGGAGATTTGCTGACCTTCGACCCTGGAACCAGGATGACATAAAACCAGGATGTTGAGAATCCAGGATGACTGAACCAGGAGGATGCACACCAGACCATCACTTGCCTTATCAAAATGGACTGTGCTCATCTGCACATAGAGAACTTTTTAACTCTCTCCCTTATCTCTTTGTTTTGTTCCCCTCTCCCTCCTTATGTAAACTTCTGCTTGCACTGAGATGTTAAGATGGGCTTTGATACAAGAGTTCCCCATCTTCCAGGTGGCTGGCACCTGAAAATAAACCACTTGCCTTACACCAGCCCCTCTCTCTCAAGTATTGGCTTTCTAAGCAGCAGGCAGCCAGACCTGCATTCGGGTACATACCCAGATGTTCAGAAAAGTTTCCTTAAACTATGTCACACTGATCTCAGTCTTGCAAGAAGAGCAGACATCATCGAGACGGGCTGTAGGGCAAGAGGGTGCACACACACACATATACAGCACACATTGGAAAGGGGCGTGTGGTTTGGCATGGGCAAACCCAGGGTTCCACGGGGACAAAGTAAAAGACTGAGTTGGGAGTGCAGGGGAGGGCCAGATCCAAGAGATGCTAAGGATTTCAGAGTTTAGATAATTAAGAATCATAAAAAGGAGAACAAAGTTTTCAGATTTGCTTACTAGAAAGATAATTCTGACAGCTGTGTGAAGGGTGAATTGAAGGGTGAGGCAGGAGACTGAAAAACTGCCAGGTAATTAATGATGAGAGTTGCCTGAAATTCCACAGACACATTCTTTAAATGTGTTAATACTTTCAGTCTAATTGCAAGATTCAGAAACTTGAAAGATTTCTTTTAAGATGACTTTGTATATTCCAACTGTATTACCAAGATTTTCTTTTTTGGTCTTGGTGCCTGCTGTTGGTAGTATCTGATGGGAATAGGGCAGAACAGGAGGCAAGGCATCTCTGAATGGAGACCAAGGAGCTGAGAGAACTTCTGCTTTCAATTGGTTGACTGGGTGGGTGGTGGTGTCTGAAGATCTGATTTGGAGGAAAGATGAAGATCATCTTAATTTTGGATATGTTACCTGTAAGTGTCCTATGGAACAGACAGCTATCAAAATTTATAAATACACACTTATTTGCCTATTTTATTTTTTCTCCATGAGAGCAGGGACCGTGTTTATTTTGATCACTGTGGTAAGCAATGCCTAGTATGGTGACTGACATATAATGAGCACTCAATAAATATTTGTGAATGAGTGAAATGAAATGATCCAGTTGAAAATGTCTAATAGGGGGCTTGGAGTGCATGAGAAATAAATAGGGGCTGAAATAAAAATTTAATAGTTATATCATAGCTACCATTTATTTAATGCTTGCTGTGTTGTATTAAACACTTCAAATATATTAGCTCATTCAATTCTTACGACAATTCTGAGAGATTGCTAGCTCCATTTTATAGACCAGGAAACTGAAATTTGTCACATGTAATGAATTATATGCTTTATACTGGTTATGAATGAAAATGAAAATGAAGATGTCTTTTAGGGAGAATATAGGGAGTCAAAGGACATGAAATTTTGATAAAATTGGAATAAAGAAATTCAGTGGGAGAAATGGGATCATGAATAAAGAACCGAGAGATTATGGGCTAAGTGTTGGTGAGGATATGGAGAGATTGGAACCTTTGCACATAGCTAATGAAAATGTGAAATAGTGCAGGTGCTGTGGAAAACAGTCATTGGCTTCTCAAAAAGTTAAACACAGAATTACCATATGATCCAGCACTTCCACTCCTGGGTATAGAACCTCTTTTCAATTCTCTTAGGTATATCTGCTACTCAACCAGATACTAGTGCCTGAATGCTCATAGAGCCACTATTCACAATAGCCAAAATGTGGAGACAGCCCAAATCCCCATCAGTAAGTAAATAGATAAACAAAATGTGGTATATACCCCTCAAATTGATGTGTTGAAATCCCAACCCCCAGTACCTCAGCACGTTACTGTATTTGGAGATAAGGTCTTTAAAGAGGAGTCTAAGTTAAATGGATTAGAATGGGCCCCTAATCCAATATCACTGCGGTCCACACAAGAAGAGGAAGAGATACTGGGTGCCTGTGCAGGCACCGAAGGGAAGCCATGTGAAAGGGCAAGCAAGAAGGCAGCCATCTGCACGTCTAGGGGAGAGGTCTCGCAGGAAACTAATCCCATCAGCACCTCGATCTTGGACATCCTGCCTCCAGAACTGTGAGATAATACATTTCTGATGTTTAAACCGCTCAGTCTGTGGTATTTTGTTATGGTGACCGAAGAAAACTAATATAGGAATGATGTACTGATACATGCTACAATATGGATAACCCTCAAAACAGTGTGCTAAGTGAAAAAAGCCAGACACAAAAGGCACGTATTGTGAAATTCACTTTATATGAAAAATGCAGACTAGGTAAATCCATAAAGGCAGAAAGCAGATTGATGTTTGCCAGGTAAGGGGGTGCAGAGGGGACAAATGAAGAGTGACTGCTTCATGGGCAAGGGCTTTTCTTTGGAGGTGATGAAACCTGGAACTTGATATAGGTCATAGTTGCACAACACTGAGAATCTACTCAAGGCCACTGAATCTCACACTTTAAAATGGTTAATTTTATGTTATGTGAATTTAACCTCAGAGAGAGAGTGTGTGCACTAGGGCTATTTAAGAGTTTTAGAGGTAGAGCAGAGTATATGCGGGTCATTCCCAAGTCAGAGGAAGCCACAGTGAAGGTATGGTAAGGAGGTGAGGATGAGGTTGGGAAACTTAACAGCCTAGCATAACATGCCAGGATATTAACTGGGTGATCCACACGGACCTCAAGATTACCCAGCAAACACTGGCCAGTGTGGCGCTGTTGGTTGGAGTGTTGTCCCATAAAAGAAGGGTTGCAGGTTCAGTTCCTGGTCAGGGGACACATCCAGGTTGTGAGTCCAGTCCTGGTTTGGGCATGGACAATCCCCTGTCCAGGCATGTATGAGAAGTAACCAACTGATGCTTCTCTCTCACATTGATGTGTTTCTCTTTTTCTTCCTCTCTCAGAAGCAATGAAAAATTGTCCTTGGGTGAGGATGAAAAGTTTTTTAAATAAAAAAATAAAAAATTACCCAGCAAGATGTCAGGGCCTGGGGTGGGGTGGGAGAGTGTGAGCAGATGTAGAGTCTTCTGAAAATGTACACACTGTAACCCAGAGGTCGGTAGATGCCATTGGTAGGAAGTTTAGAGACAGTGACAGTGGGATGGTCAGAGACACCAGAGGAGAACAGTTTACCTGTGGGAGCAGGGACAGCATTTAGGAAGCTGCGCTGGAGAGAGAGAAAAATGCAGTGACCCTTATTCCCTGCCCTGGATGCCAGAGGGAAATGAATAGTCTCAGACAGCGCTCAATTTTTAGAGAAGGTGGTCTGGGGGACAGGGACATTTTTCCATCATGGGATGGAACTGCAGGTTAGTACAGAGTCTGTGGATTAACCATGTTGATGGTTGTGTGTCTACAGTTAAGGTATGTACCTGATGCCACTAACTATGTGCTCATTAAAAAAGGAGAAGGAATGTACAATATTGACACATCTTATAGTTTGCATTTTATAAATATTATTATTAGGAAAAACATGTTTAGCCGAAACCAGGATATAGCTGTATGTTATTTGATGGTGAGTTCTTGAATGGGGTAATGGCATTTTGCTGGTGAAATGGAATGTGCCAATGTTTAGAGGACTTAGGTCCAGTTTTTACTCCCTTTCATTTCTGTTGATAAACTCACCAGTGCTTGGCAGAGACAGGGCTATTCTAGAATTTGCACTAACTAAACACATGGAATGTGCAGATTCTTTGGTTGCTAAAGGGAACAGAAACAAGGCTCTTTAGTCTTAATTATTAAAATTAATTAAGTCTATTTTACAAGTAGCTGTTCCAAGCAATCAACAAATATTTATTAACTGCCCAGAAAACTCCTAAAGTCCTGTGGGAGAAAGAAAAAACTCTGTGAGATTATACTTGGAGAGATGTCACATTCACAAACCAACATTAAACAATAATCCAACACTCCTACCTCATAAGAATGCATGATTAATTGCCAAATGACAGCTCTAGACAATGAATGCTTCAGCATTCACTGTGGGTTGGAAAGGATTCATGGAGAAGGTGCCACCAAACTAGGGCGTGAAAGCTGAGAGAAGCTACAAAGCTAGCTGAGGGGGGAGGAAGGGTATAAGACTTGGCGGAAGGGCAGGAGACTCTGGCTGGTATTAGTGACGACTCGGTATTTTCACAGGTTACCAGAGTGGAGTGTTACGGACATGGGTCAGTGAGGTTCAGATGGGACTTGACGGTTCTGAACGCTGTGTAGCTCATGGCCGTTTCTAAAAGCAAATATTTTGTTTTTCTCCCTTTATGGCACAAAATCAATTTTAAAATTGATATAATGCTCTAACTGACTATAAAAGACAAATAAAAATAGAACATTTTTAGTAAAAATATGTATTTGATTCCACTTCTATTGGATATCTAAAGTAGTCCAACTCTTAGAAAGTGGAATGGTGGTTGTCAGGGCTGGGGGAGTGGGAAGAGAATTGTGGAGTGGATATAGGCTTTCGATTAGCACACGAAAGTCTCTGTGTAGTTTAGCGAGCTACAAAGTTCTAGAGATCTGTTGCACAACAATATGCGTATATTGTAGGTAACACTATTGCACTGTGCATGCTAAAGTGGTTAATGTGGTAAACTATGGATTTTTAATACACTAAACTGTGAATTTGAATATGTAAATATGTCTAAGAGTAGATTTATTTTTTCATTTGGTTTGTTTGGGATTCATTGTCCCTCCTGTATCTGAGGATTCATGCCTTGTACTAGTTCTGGGGGTAAAACGCCTCTCTTACACTCTCCATATTTTCTTTTTATGAAACAATTACTAAATGTATGTTAGACTGTCTCATTCTGTCTTTCATGACCCTTAATTACTTTTTCTTATTTTTCCTATCTTTGTCTCTTTGCGCTGTGTGTTTTTACTGAAGTCATACATGCAGAGTTACAAGGTCATGTACAACTGAAGTGAATATTTCCAGACTGAGCACATCACGGAACCAGCATCCATCTCAGGAAACAGTGTTTCCACCCTTCAGAAACGTGTCTCACGCCCTCTCCCAGTTACACCTACCCTCAAGGGTACCCACTGTCCCCTCTGCCTTAGTTTTGGTAGATGTTTTCCATGGTGTGTGGTTTTCCTAAGGTTCTGTATTTTTTTTTAAGATTTTATTTATTTATTTATTTATTTTTAGAGAGAGGGGAAAGGAGGGAGAAAGAGAGGAAGAGGAACATTGATAGGTGGCCTGACCTGGGACACATCCCCTGATCTGGGACAAAACTCGTAATGCAGGTGTGTGTCCTGACTGGGAATTGAACCAGTGACCCTATGTTTTACAGGACTACACCCAACCATTTGGGCCACACCAAGCAGAGCTGATACCTTAAAAAAATTTCTTTTGCCTTATTGTCCTGCTAGAACCTCCAATACAATGTTTAATAGAAGTGACAAGAATAGTCATTCTTCTCTCATTCAGGAAGAAAAATATTGTCTTCTATTGTTAAGCATAATGTTAGTTGTAATGTTTTCATTAAGTTGCAGAAGGTACCTTTTATTCCTAGGATTTTTTTTTTAATAGTGGAACAGTGTTGAATTTTATCAAATGCCATATCTGTTTCTATTGAGATGATAGTGTGAATTTTGTCCTTTATTTTATCAATATGGTGTATTACGTTGATTCTTGGATGTTAAACCAACCCTGCATTCCTGGGATAAGTCACACCTGATTATGTGTATACTCTCTTTTTGGGGGGGAGATCAATTCAGCTTTATTTTCCCCATCGCATATATATATGGTAGAGAATTCCTTTTGTTAGTGTTTTGTTGAGGATTCTTGTATATATATTCATAAGAATATTGATATTCTATTTGTTTTTTAAGGGAACTTAGGGAGTCTCAAAAAGTATGCCACTCCTTCTGCCATATTTTGAAAATTCTCTATGTTTGCTATAAAAAAACATTATTAAAAAGATTTGTATGGGGAAAAGCTCACAGGTTCTTTTTTATGCAAGCTCCTCCTTTTAATTCAACATTTATTGAGCACTAATGGACTCATGATCAAAAAATGAATTATTAACGGTATCTCTTAGTCTCAAAGATCCCAATGAACAATGTAAGCAGTTAAATCTTTTCGTGTGTATAGGATATCTGCTTCACGTTCACATGTGGTAGCTTATTGTTTGTCAGTGCAAGATCCGATTATTTTATTTTGATTCACTGCTATTTGAGTTTGTTTTGTGGAACAGCATAATGCAGCTTTGGAAAAATCAATACCTCTGGCAAGATTTGGAGCACCTTTGCTGCAAATGTCAACTTCTGTTTACATGGTTCTTAACTGTTCTGGTTGTTTCTGCTTGTTAAGCAAATTCTGTCAAAGAAAAAAAGCGAAGTAATAAGTAGGAAATATAAGGCTTGAATTGAATTTGGTCATATACCAGAAGAGCTCAGGGAAATCAAATTTACATTGCTTTCAAGCAAATGCTATTGGGCAAAAGTTTCTTTTTAGCTCTGAAATAGGTTTTGTAAAATAATGTCAAGGGAAAGTAACCTCTTAGTTTGTCTTTTGCGTAGAGACTTACATCCAGTGTCTGCTTTGACAACACAGTTTCATACACAATGTTAAGTAGGAAATACAAATGAAAAGAAGCCAAAGGTTTCTGGTGAGTGTGGTATTTCTAAAAATCTGTGTTTCTACACGTGGCGAACACTTCAGTTATACTTCTAGTTCCTGACAGAGCCCGTCGCTGTTTTCGTGTCTGTTACTACTATTTGCCAGAAGCCTAACGAGGTCGATTTTCCACTCCAGAAACTAGGAACAGGGGCTGTGCTTGAAACCCCACTTTTGGAAGAATTTCTTATGTAACTCTCAGCACAATGGAATTATTTCTCCTAAAGAAAAAACCCACCACATTCTAGTTCCTTCCCCCACAGCCCTCCTTTTAAAATAACATTTATCGTTGTTAGTTTTTCTGTGTTGTTTGTACACGTAATATGGTCTCACCGTAGAAATTTGGGGAAATTCAGTGAAGCACAAACAACATTCTAGTCCCACCGTACAGAGATAGCTCTGAACATTTTCTTCACTGGGTAACGGGGCGTAGTAACTGTTTTGTCCACTGCATTTTTTCCTTCTTCCACTTTCTGCCTTTCTACAAGTACTGCCCATTCTTTCTCTATCGGTGGTCGCAGCACTGGTTAACCTAGTGTCTCCTCCAAGGTCATTCTGCCAGTAGGGTGTCACCCTCGCCCACCTGCAGGAGACCGGGCCCTACTGAAGCGCGACCCTCTTATGAGCCGAGCGCGGTGGGGCGGGGTCGGGGGCGGTCCCGGGGCGGATTGGAGGAGCCGGCAGCCACGTGGCGGTCCTGACGGCGGCGGCCGAGCTCCAGCGTGTTCCTAAGGCGACCCGGGAAGGGCTGCGAGCTTGACAGATGTGCATGAGGAGGGGCCTGGTCGGCCTCACCTTTTGTACCTGCTACCTGGCTTTTTACCTCACGAACAAGGTGAGGTGGGCGGGCGCGGGGAAGCAGGGATTCCGCCTGGGAGATTCGAGTCCCAAAACTGTCGCTGGAACAAATGCAGCCTCCAGCTTTTCCTCCGTCCCCCCCCCCCCCCCATGGTGATAGAGGAGAAATCGATTCTGTGCGGGATGCTCTTTTAGAAGTAGCTTTTGTTGGGCTGTACTGCCTCATTTCCTGTTCTGTAAAGCATTCTGTGAATTTCCTGGTTAACCAGATTTTTTTTTCCTTGGCGATTTTGCAGGAACTTCATTTTTGGCAGCATGGACTACTTTTAAGGGAAAGAAAGCAGTTGGCTCCCATTCCCTCCGAGGAAGGAAGGGTAGGGAAAGAAGTCGGAGCCATCTGCCTTCTCTTCTATACATGCCCCTGCCCCAGGGCCCCGCAAGGTCCCAGAAGCCTTTAAATGGAAGAGAGCAGCCCATCTCCATCTCCGCCTCATACCACTGATTCTCAAACTGCTTTTTAAAAATATCTGTTACCATTCCTGGCACTTCCAGTATATTCAAGAGGTTTTTTTGGGGGGGAATTATCTTTAAAATAAAATGTAAACTTAATTTTTCTAAAGTAATGTCATGCAACCCTTTGTATGAAGAGGCAGAAGGGAGGGGGTTTACCCCCCTCCTGGACTGGGAGCCAGACACCAAGCCAAAGTGGTGATACAGGCCCAGGACCACCTTCACCAGTACAGTCTCTACTGTTCCATCCTCTGCACTCCCCCAGCCCCTCCCTGCCAAAACCTCTCGTTCTCTGGGAAAGAAGCATTGACGAATAGGTTTTCCTTATACTGTCTTTCTCACTATGGGTGGATGTCTTCAGTATGTGAAGAGGATGCTGTTGAAGCCCCCTTGCCCTGTCCAGTTGACCCCATGGGCATAGTCTTCTGCATCTAGTCTCTGCCAAATGAAATTTTTTGAATTAGTGAAGTCCTTTTGTGTCTACAATACAGGACCTTTTTCTTCAGGTGTTTAGAACACGCTATGCTAGTTTCTTTTCTTTTTTAAAGATTTCATTTATTTATCTTTAGAGGGGAAGGGAAGGAGAGAGGGAGAGAAATATCAATGTATGGTTGGCTCTCATGAGTCCCCTGCTGGGAACTGGCCTGTAACCCAGGCATGTGCCCCGACTGGGAATCGAACCGAGATCCTTTGGTTTGCAGGCCTGCGCTCAGTCCACTGAGCTATGCCAACCAGGGCGATAGTTTCTTTATTTTCATATTTCTCTGTAGTTTTCTCCTCAAACTGTTTCCCTATTTGTATAAAGAAAATTCATTAGGGAATTTTTATACATCTTAGTTTCATACCTTAGTCTCATTACTGTTTAAAAGAATGGTTGATTTTTGTTCAGAGTTTGGACAGCAAGTGTTCTGGCTGTCGGGCCGGCTGGCCCAGTCAGGGCAGCACGTCCCTCCGCGCTGTGGCGGGTCCCTCCGCGCTGTGGGGGTTCCGGCAGTAACCAGACTCCGGCCCCGCAGCTCCCTGTCCTTCGCCTCACAGATGCTCAGCCTTCAGTCGGGAGGGCAAGTGCACACCTGTTTTCCTGTTAAAGGCTCCCACATTGCTCCTCCTTTTTCCTTGAGAAGCTGTCACTGCTCTTCTTCCAAAAAGCATTTTGCGCTTGCTGAGCAATGCTTTTCAGCGATTTGAGGTGTTGCTGAAAGGAGAAAAGTTTAGGACTTAGACACTCTTTGTCAAAGATTTCTTGGTCTTTTCACTGTTCTTTAGGAAGGTGAAGTGAGAGCTTCCGCATTTTCTGTCTTCTGCAGTATCTAGTACAAAGCTCAGCACACAGTACACTGAGTCAATATTATCTTCATGAAGGTTGTTAAGGGTGATGCATGTTATGTCACTGTTTTCTCTAGTTCTGTTTTAGAATGAAAATACCAGGGGAAAGTGGGGAGGGATGTACTGAATTATGTGAGTAAATAAACCAGAGTAGAATGAAGGTAATGTCTAATAAGTATATACCAGTGCACAGGCAGTTGGCCAGAACTGTGACGTTTAGGAACTCATACAAGAACGATTATGTGTAGGGTAATCCATGAGGGAAATACAGGTGTGTAAACTTGCCCAGCACCATTCTGTTCTATTTTTTAGACCATGCGAAGAATCAGAGTCCTTCCTAAAGCCATTTAATGGTTTTAGAATTTTAAAAAATTCTTAAAGGGTTTAATAATAAATAGAAAAAATAGCAAAGGATATCCAGAAGGGCACAACACAATCCCCCCATTCATAAATCACTGTAAACTTGACTAAAGACAATAGAAATACAAGTTGACCTTAGCAGAATTAGTTTTTTTTAAAAAAATGCTTACAATGCTAAAGCACAGCAAAAATTATGACGCCTGAGCAGAATCAGGAAAAAATTCTTAGAATGTGAAACCCCAGCAAAACCCTAAAAATGGAAAACAGAGGACAGACTAGGATGCACTTCTTATTTGAAGAGAAACGAAGAAGGGGTGGGATTTTTAGGTAAACTGAACAGTAGATAAAGTGGATACCCTGAGAAAACAGTCTTCAGGGGTGTGTCTGGGTTTCTCTGGAGTTGCCGCAGTTACAACATGACACTTCTGGGGTCTGGGAAGATGCCGAGTTGTCAGTAGTCCCAGCACCGCACCCAGCTGCTGTCCCACTTTGCTTGTGGTACCAGTCCCAGTCCCCACTGGGGTGGTCAGGCTTCTGGTGACTCTGGGGGGAAGCAGGCCCACTCTCTTTACTATGACTTGGAAGGTCTGTTTTGGGAGGGGGCAGTGTGTGATTTTGGTGGGGAGAGGATAGGAATAAAGACCCTTTAAAACTTGAATGTTCTTAAATTCCTTAGGTAGGGACATCTTTGATGATGTGGCCTATCAATCCTCTATAATTTGGAAATGTACATTACTTTGATGTTTGTTTTTCAGTATGTCCTGTCTGTCTTGAAATTTACCTACCCTACATTGTTCCAAGGGTGAGTATTTTTTATACTCTTTGTATACATTTGTAGGAAATGTTTAGCTATTGTTTTTAAATGTTATTTATATTATGTACTTAAAATTTTTTAATTAAATGTATTAGGGTGACATTGATTAATGTAATTACGTAGGTTTCAAGGATACAGTTTTGTAATACATCTCTATTGCATTGTGTGTTCATCACTCAAAGTCAAATCTCTGTTGACATATGTTGGACCCCCTTTACCCTTTATCTTTAAAATATTTTTACTGACTGCATAGAATTTTTTTCACCAAATAGATATACTGTAATTTATTTAGCTATTCTATTAATGGGCATTTAAATTGTGTCTCATTTGGGTGGTATAAACACAGCAATGTTATCAGACGTTTTTGGTATTTAACTCTGCCAAATTTCCAATTAAGACATATATGTCGATATATATTGGCATAGATTCCTATGTAAGAAATTTGGGTTAAAGAATTTGAACTTCTTTAGTATTCTTCTTGAATACTAACAAAATCTTTTCCCAAAATATTTTACCAATTTACGTTGTCACCAGGCTGTATATGAAAGTTTCTATAACATTATTCTGGAAGCATGAGTATTTCTTCTTCTCTCTGGTTATTTCATGAGCCCCAAATGGTATCACATTATTTTACTTGGCATTTTCAGATCATTCATGAATTGGACAGTTTTCTTATGTTTATTGCTCACTTATATCTTTTTTTCCAGTGAACTTCCTAATTGTGCCTTTTACCTCTTTACTTTTACAGGCATTTTAGTATTTTTCTTAGCAGTTTAATGAATTCTTCATATTTTAAGAGTGCCACCCACTTGTCCATTATGTTTTATTGGAACTTTTTTTTTGCAATTTGTTCTTTGCCTTTTTAAGTATTTTTATTATTTAAATATTTTCAAAAGTGACATCATAGAGAATTCATTGTTTGAGCATAAGATGAAAGGATAGAGAGAACAGGGAATAAATCCAGTGTGCGGTCTTGTGACCGAGGGAGGCTATTACTAGAACAAAACGGGAGAAGAGGATGGCTCCGGGCCGGCTAGTAGCCTGGGTATTGTAGGAGCAACACCCGCTTCTCTTCTTCCCCTCCCCTCCCCCATGTTTTCATTTTTTAAATGTTTGGTTTTTATGTAGAAAAATATATTGATTGTTTCTGTTGTGATCCACAATTGCTTCTGTGTTTATTCTTCTCCATCACAAGATTATGCTGATATTCACCTGCATTTTATTAAAGCTCTCTTCAGTTCTTGACCATTGTCTGTTTATTTTAGTGTATGTGCAATGTGAAGAATTCACTCCTCCCCTAACAGTTTCATTTACTCTGGCCCCATTGATTATGTTTTGTTGTATGATCCTTTGCCTGTGCACTGTTAATATAATATATAAAGTTATTTTTCTAGGGTCTATTTTTATTACCTTGATAATAAACACTTTTTTAAGCTTTTTTTTGAAATTATCTTGGTAATAAATCTCTTTTTTCTTCAATTTTTAAAAAACTTACCATTGACCATATATTTGTTTCGGGTGTGCAATGTAATATATAGACATATCTATAACATGAAGTGATCACCCAGATAAGTCCAGTACAGGGTCTATTTTTGAATTTGCCAACTTGTATGGAAAGTGGCTATGCTAAATTTTAAATATTATAGCATTTAAATATATGGGAGAGCTCCTCATCTCTCATTTTACTACTTTTTTAATATTGCACAAATGCAAACAAAAAAGCAGTGGCCCTGATCTTAATGTCAGACAAGGTTGACTTCAGGACGGAAATCATTAAACAAGTGAGGATAGCCATGTGTTATAATGCTGACACATGCAATTCAAAATGAAAATAAAATGGCGATGAGTGTCTGTACCACTCAGCCCGTTGGGCACCACCATGTATCAGACAAGAAGTGCAAGAAAACCAGGGGTAAATAGGAATGTACTAGTGGTAGGAGACAAACTTACTGCCATATTTCTGTGATAGTTCAATTGGACAAAAAAACTTTATGTATATATTAAGTATATTATTGATCACATGTGTATTTATGCTAAATATGTGTATATGTACTTATATGTGCTCCATAATATAATTAATACATAAATATCAAACACTTTCTCTTGAAAATAGAGATTATGTTCTTTTCTCAAATGCCCATGGAATATTCATTGTGAATACAGTGAGATACACAGTAGGGCAGAGTAACTCATTCTACAAATATTTATTGGGTGCATACTATGTGCCAGGCACTATTCTAGACACTTCTGGACATCAGTGAAGAAAACAAAGATCCCTGTCCTTGTGGAGCTTGCTTTTCTGTTTTGCCTATCCCTTAAATTTACCTGCAGTGCACCATACCCTCTATCCAGTTGTCTGACTCAGAGGCCTGATAGTGTCCTGGCCAGTATGGCTCAGTGGATTGAGCGCTAGCCTGTGAACCAAAGGGTCGCTGCTTCAATTCCCAACCAGGGCACATGCCTGGGTTGCAGGCCAGGTCCCCAGTAGGGGGTGCATGGGAGGCAACCACACATTGATGTTTCTTTCCCTCTCTTTCTCCCTCCCTTCTTTTCTGTCAAAAAAATAAAGAAAAGAAAAGAACCTTAGTATTTATTCTTGATTCCTCTGTCTCCTTTATCGGCTAACATGCAATTAACCACCTGGACCTCTTAGACATGGTTAGAATCTGTCCACGTTATTCACCCAGTTGCCCATTCCCTGGCCACTGTCATCTCTCAAATTACACTAACAACTTCCAACTTGCTTCCTGGCCCCTGAACTTGCTTTTCTCAAAGACACTCTCTCCTTTGGAAAGAGAGGGAGCTTTCCCAAATGGAATTCTTTGTTGTGGGGCTTTCCTGCATATTGGTGGAAGGTCAGCAGCATCCCTGGCTTTTACTCATCAGGTGCCAGTAGCAAGCCTCCCCTCCCCTGTTCCCAGTTCTGACAACCAAAACTGCCTCCAGATACTGCCACATAACCCCTGGGGAGGAAAACCATGTGTTTGAGGAACACTGCTCTCCACCAAGCTGCAGGAGGGCACAACCCATATCTGTGTGTTCTGCCTGTCTGTCAGTGAAGGCATCACAAAGGAGACTTAAAACTGGATCTTGTAGAATAAGCAGGTGTTCTTATTCTACACTGACACACTAGGAGATGGGAAGAACATTATGGGATAAGGGAGCAACGTGGGCAAACTCTTAGAAGCATGAAATGGCCCGGCACATTCCTGAGGCTTCCAGCTGTTCCTTGGGCCGGAATTTGTCTGCCTGGGGCAGACAGACAGGAGCTGGTCCTGGAGCGGGGTGGGTGCAAGTTCCAGAAGGCTCGTGTGTCACGCACAAATGACTTTATCCTGTAAGTCAGGGGTTCTCACCTGTGGTGTCCAATACGGAGGTGTGGCGTAATCATGTCTGAGTTAGTGTTTCAAGTCATAACTAAAAATAATTTTTTAATTTATGAATGATTCACCTAAAATAAAAAAAATTGGAATGTAACAGGATGAAGTGATGTTTATAGTTCCCCTCTCATTCATTTGGTGTTTTTCTCCACCTTCTGCAGTGGGAAAGCGGGGGATGTTTATTTTATAGCCCGTGCTCCCCCAGACTCGGCTGCTGAGGAAGCGTGCCTTACACGAGCTTCAAAACCCCGAGTGTACTGTGGCAGAAAAGAGGCTGAGAACTGCTACCTGCAGCCCTGGGAAGAATCAACCATTTTTATTATTTTATTAAATTTTTAAAAATTTATTGATTTTAGAGAGAGGAAGGAAGAGAGGGAGATGGAAGCACTGATTTCTAATTCCACTTATTTATGCATTTTTTGGTTGATGCTTGTTGTTGCCCTGACCAGGGATCGAACCCACAACCTAAGTGTATTGGGACGACGCTCTAACCAACTAAGCCCCTGGCCAGGGCAGCACTGACTATTTTTGAGCAAGTGAGTAGCACAATTAAGTTTGCATTTCAGAAAAAATCCTTTGGCGTCAAGGTGGAGGCTGGCTGGGGCGTGACAACTCCTGAGAGAGGGGACCAGTGCTGTGGTTCAGCCGTGGGGTGACGAAAGTCTGGAGTATGCAGAGGCGTAAGGGGTGGAAGGGAAGGCTTCAGTTTTGAGAACTGTTATGTGGATAAAAATCAATAGGACTTTGCAAGTAAATGAAGGAGGGGAGGGTGGAGGAACGGCTAGGATGACATCTAGTGTTCTGGGTTGGCTGATTAGGGATGGTGGGAGGTTGGTCAGCACGGGGAGGGAGAAGTTAAAGGTAATGTTTTAGGTGTGTTATATTCGGGAACTTGTGGAGGGTCTGGGTGAGGAGGGGGATTTGGGAATCATCAGTGCAAAGGCAATGGGAGAAAAAGGTGGCTGTGAGTGAGGTTGTGCAGGGGAAGTCTAGAATGAGAAGAATACCAATGCCGGCACTTAATGGTGCAGCTGGATTCAAGGGAATAAGTAGAAATTGGGAAGGACAGGTCTGAGATTGGGGCGATAAGTAGGGAGAGTGGGAGAAAAAAGTTGTAAGAGGGATTGGACGTGTTTATTTGTGTCGGTTGACAGATCTGGGGTTGGATGACTTTCGAGACCACGACACTATTAAATTCAGATTGGAAAAAAAATAAAACAAATTCAAAATGGCCTTTATTCTTTTCAGGTGGCAGACGTTAATTGGTGGACTTTTGCTTCATGTGTCCTGGAAGCTGGGCTGGGTGGAGATCAACAGCAATTCAAGGTAGACCCTCTTCTGTGCTTCATGAGTCATCCCTGCTTCCTTCCCACACTTCTTAATTTCTTAAGTTTTACATTGGGAAACACGGATGTCTGAGTTGTTTGGTCTCTTAGCTCCCTTCTACTCTTGAGATTCAATGATTTTATAATCAAACAGAACTCGAGCAGTGTTTTTTTCTGGTTAATAATGCCACAAATCTAATGTTAAAATTAGTTGAGATATGCAATATATGATACCAGATTAACTTTGCTTTCTTTTAGATCATAGGACTACTGTGAATGAATTTTTAAGTAAACTTTAAAAATTTTTAGTAAATTGCCCTGGCTGGTGTAGCTCAGTGGATTGAGCATGGGCCTGCGAACCAGACAATCGCGGTTCGATTCCCAGTCAGGGCACATACCGGGGTTGCAGGCTGGTTCCCTGTAGGCCAGTTCCCAGCAGGGGACACACAAGAGGCAACCATACATTGATGTTTCTCTCCCTCTCTCCTTCCCTTCCCCTCTAAAGATAAATAAAATCTTTAAAAAAATTTTTTTAGTAAATTTTTATCTTGAAATTATTTCCTTATAGAAGAATTAGAGATAGTATAAAGAACTTTCATAATCTTTACCAGATCCCCAAGTTATTATTTTATCACACTTTTATCATTTTTTTTCTTTTTCTATAACGATATAAAGCATTTGAGAGTAAGTTTCTGACTTCAGAGGAAGATGCTTTTCTTCTAAATTTTTTAGGGTGCGTTTTCTAAGAGCAAGGACACTTTTTTACTGACTAGAGTGTAGTCTGAAAAATCAGGAAGTTAATCATTGGTACAATACTATTATCTCATCTATAAACTATTTTCATATTTTGCCAGCTTTCTCAGTAATATCCTTTATAACCCTCTCCCTACCCCCATTCTGATCCACGGTCCAATTCATAGCATACATCACATTACCTGTTGATTCTATTAAGACAGCTTTTCAAATATATTGAAAAGAAATCTCAAAGGCTATGGCATTTTTCAGCCAAAATGATCATCTGAATTGGCTGTTCACTTCCTGCCTTATCTAGATAAATTCTCATGATTCTTTGAGAACATCATGCCTTGCCTGAAATGATGCCCAAAGTTAAAAGAAAATGAAGTTAAGTTTTATTTGAATAAGGTGAACATCCCAACTGAGTGATCCAGCCAAGTCGTTCGCCTCGACTTGTTTGATCCAGGTTATCTGCCCAGCTTCCCCCGTAGTCAGGTTAACCGCTTGATTGCAAAGTCATCCCTGTGCTTGGCACCCCGGAGAAGCTTTGGGAAAGTGTCCAGTATGCACATTACTAATCTTCTCCTGAAGATATAAAACTAGAGGACTTCCGCCAAGATGGAGGCATAGGTGGATGTGCCGTGCCTTCTCCCACAACCAAGATTAGAGAAAACTAAATATTAGCAACAGAAAACACAGCCAGAACACGGAAAATTGAACTTTTCGGAAGTCCATTAACAACAAATTCTTCAGCCTGACCGGTAAGGGGCGAAACCAGCGGCTGGCGGAGCGGGGTTGCACAGGAGGACTTGGCCAGACACACTCAGGCCCGCGGAATCCAGGAGCAGGGTCAGACCTAGTGAGCGACCCAGCGAGCAACCAGGCGAGCGACCACGGGGGAGACAGCCGGGCCGGGGCTGCGTGTTGACTGAGGTCGCGCATTTGTGCGAGGGTGGACAGGCGAGGAAGTGGGCGGTTGGACCAGGCCGGCAGGTCCCCACGGCAAGCGGCAGTGGAGGGCACTGCCATTTCCCTGCTCTGACCCCACCTCCACATACAGCGTCATAACCCAGCGACTCTGAGTGGCCCGGCCCAGGTGAACCACCTAAGGCACTGCTCCTCCGCACCCAGCTGTGAGAAGCGGCAGAGGGGTCGCCATTTCCCCGCTCTGGCCACGCCCCCACATACAGCGTCACAACCCAGCGACCTGGGAATCCAAGCTGCCGCTTCTCACACTTAAAGGGCCCGAACAGACCAAGAATGGCGCAGGAGGATCTCAGAGCCCCAGAAATAAATCTAAGCGATGAAGAAATAGCAAAACTCACAGACGCACAGTTTAAAAAATTGGTGATCAGGATCCTCACAGAACTGGTTGATTATACGGACAAATTAGACAAATATATGAAGGCGAAACTCATTGAAATGAATGGAATTGCACAGGACACCAATAGCAATGAAAAGGAAACTGGGACTCAAATCAATGGAGTGGACCAGAAGAAAGCAAATAATGGCCAAACAGAAAAGAGTCAAGAAGCAAGAATTCAAAGAAATGAGGAGAGGCTTAGGAACCTCCAGGACATCTTTAAACGCTCCAACATCCGAATTATAGGGGTACCAGAAGGGGGAAAGGCACAGCCACCAGTGGAAAACTTATTTGAACAAATAATAAAGGAGAATTTCCCCAATCTGGCAAAGGAAATAGACTTCCAGGAAATCCAGGAAGCTCAGAGAGTACCAAAGAAGTTGGACCCAAGAAGGAACACACCAAGGCACATCGTAATTACATTAGCCAAGATTAAAATGAAGGAGAGAATCTAGAAGCAGCAAGAGCTAAGGGGACAGTCACCTACAAAGGAGTCCCCATCAGACTGTCAGCGGATTTCTCAAAAGAGACCTTACAGGCAAGAAGGGGCTGGAAAGAGGTATTCCAAGTCATGAAAGCTAAAGACCTACAACCAAGATTGCTCTATCCAGCAAAACTTTCATTTAAAATGGAAGAACAGATAAGGTGCTTCTCAGATAAGATCAAATTCAAGGAGTTCATCATCACCAAGCCCTTATTATATGAAATGTTAAAGGGACTTATCTAAGAAAAAGAAGTTAAAGAAACATGAACAGTGAAAGGACAACAAACTCACAGTTATTAACAACCACACCTAAAACGAAAGCAAACTAAAAGGACAGCTAGATCAGGAGTGGAAACATAGAAATGAAGATCTCAAGGAGGGTTAGCAACAGGGGAGTGGGAGGAGGAGAAGGGGGGAGAAGGTACAGAAAATAAGTAGCATAGACAGTAGATAGAAAATAGATGGGGGGGGGGCAAGAATAGCATGGGAAATATAGAATCAAAAGGACTTGAGACACATGGTCATAAACTAAAGGGGGGGTGATGGTGGGGATGGGGGGGTAGGGTGGAGGGGAATAAAGGGGGAATAGAACAACTGTAACAGCATAATCAATAAAAAAAAAGTAAATAGTTAAAAAAAAAAGATATAAAACTAGAGAGGGAAAACTGGTATGAAGAGGCTTTATGAAGGAGAGGCTCCGGGAACAGAGGTGGGGATTAATTTCTCTTAGTCCATATGCCGAAGGAATATTCCACACAAGATGCTGAACTAATCCAAAGGAGTAGATCATTAAGTCATAATTTTGCATTTCCATGATATAGTGCCTTTAACTTGATAAAATAAAGATACTCTTGGGATTTTATATGTGATGTCACTTTTTACTCCATTGTTATTGTTGTTTAGTGAGAACTGGGTCTTCATTTAAATAAATGTGGGCCCTGAATTGACAAGGCCTGTGATAGTTCTAATGTTCCGATAGTTAAATAATGGAACATTCCAACTCTAAATGGTTGAATTTGTTCCTCCAAAGAAGCAAGAGATTAGACGAGAGTGAAGGAATTTGCTGTCAGATTTTGAGCTGGGGTGCGTAGGTCTTCCACTTTCACAGTGTTCCTGACCATAATTATCCTGTAATTTCTGATGTGAATTATTTCCTTATTAATAATAGTCTCTTAAACATTACCTTAGTCATGTTTCCTTAAAGCAATGCCATTGTTCATACCTAAAATTTTTTTGTATGTGGAATACATATGCCATAAAATTTACCATTTATTAACAGTTCTTAAGTGTACAATTCAGTATCACTAAGACATTCGCACTGTTTTGCAATCACTACCACTGTCCATTTCCAAAACTTTCTCACCACGCCCAACAGACATTCTGTCCACATTAAACAGTAACTCTCCATTCTCCCTTTCCTCCAGCCCCAGGTAAATTGCTGTTCTACTTTTGGATTCTATGAGTTTGCCTATGTTAGGTGCCCCATTTAAGTGGAATTGGACAGTATTTTGTCGTTTTGGAACTGGCTCGTTTCACTTGGCGTAATGTTTCAAGGTTCATCTATGTTGTAGCAAGTGTCAGAATTTCATTCCTTTTTTAAGGCCGAATATATTCTGTTGTATGTGTACAACATGTTGTATGTGTGCCACATTATATACCGCATTTTATTTATCCATTCATCTGTTTATAGAATTCTTCATACTTTTATTGCGATGGGGAATGACTAGTAGAACTGGATGAGGTCAGAGATTCTCAAGATGTTGTCCCTGAAAGAAGTGGTCCTCTGACAGTGAGACTTGGACACCCACTCGGTATCATTGCCCTTGAACTCACATGATGCCAGGTTTCACTAATCTCGGGAGATCCAGGATCACAGCCCATTCAGTCCTCTTGCTAAACTTTGAGATCTTTTCATCTCTATCCCTTGGACTTCCTTAGGTGGTTTCACAGCCATACACATGATGTGCGCTCACTTAGGCTTCTTGTCAAAACCTCAGTGCCTTAGAGTTATCAGCTGCTGTAGTGCTTAATAACTGTGGCACAGCTCGGAATTTCCAGTTATCAAAGGCCCTTGGTAAGGGAGCGTTACCAGATGGCAAAGAGCAAGGATATAGCAGTGGTGTCTCTTAGTATGGGCCTGGACTGGTTTGTGCTTGCCGTGGCTGCTGTTGCTTACTAGGCTTGGCTACCTGACGGTGTCATTGGAAACACGAGCCCAGCTTTGCTGTGTGACTGTGTATTTGTGCGGAGATGGCAGAGGTTGGGTTCTATGAAAAATGAAAACAGCAGCAGGAAGATGGTTGGAGTCCGCAAGCTCATCCTGGATTGGGGATTATAATAGTGGGGCTGGAGGGAGGGTCCAAAATGGGTACTTGGTGGCATATGCCACAGAGAGCACATTCAGACCGTCCTTATAGCC